AAAAGCATAACTGACTTTAGCTTTGTTTAGCAAGTAAATGTTACAAAACATTTGTGATAACTGTATACTTAGCTCTCATTAAACTTTACGAAAGACTTTTCATAATACTTGCACACTGCCATCACTCATACACAAAGTAAAATGGAATCTAACAGAAGCATACATTGTTAACAGGCATTAGGAAAAGGATGGTTACATTCCTCCTGTCCTGATTATTGTTTGCTTTAAAAGGGAATAATAACAGCCGTAATTTCCGTTTTTCAATTACAAACCAAAATTTGCAATAGCAGAGCTGTAATAAAGTAAGATACCAAGCTGTAGCTGTAACAAGCCATTGCACTGTAGCTTACAGGTTGGACTAGATGATCTTTAAAGGTCCCTTCCGAACCAAACCATCCTGTGATTTTATGTAGCTAGCAGAACTGTTCTTTCCTGTGCTTGTGAAGAATGATATCCAGAAAACCTGGAAAGCTTTCCCTCCTTCAGTTTAAACTGAGCCACATCATGCAGCAGCCATAGCTAGAGTGCTGCAAAGGTTGTGAAACATTCAAATTGCTATGTAATTTTTTTCCCAACTTGCTTAGGAAAGAATTTAGTTATTTTTGCTCTTTTATTGAAAGATAACTGTACTTCCTGACTTTCACATGAAAGCTGCTAAACACACAAAACTGGAAAGCAGTCCAATTATTTAGGCTCCTGCAAAAGTTCTTAGCAATTAGATATTTATATTGAGGGGCTGGCCTACATCTAGTGTTACCTAAGAGTGCAAAACGTACTGGGGAAGTATGAGAAATAGAACCAGCAAATTAAAGTACCATTTAAAATGAGCAACAAGTTTCAGATCTCAGTCTTAGCAACAGTTTAAGTAGTAGCTTTTATGCTTAATTAAAGTTATTTCTTCATAAAGAGAAAGGTTCTTATTTTGAGTAAGTTTATTACTTTACAATCTGTGCGGTCTAAAGCTGCCATCTTCTTAAGGGTGAACAATTGACTTCATAAAGCCCACAGAATTGTAAAGTGGTAGCCAAATTTAATCAGGTAGATAAGAGAAAACAATCCCAAACTACAGTTCAGTTCAAGGCCTGCTCTCAGGATTGGATTTGTTACAAGTAATTCATAAGCAAGACCAACAGCTTAAGACATTTGCTTCCAGGAAGAGACCTTAGACCTCTGCAAGCTAACCTGCTCTTCCCAGTCCTCACAGGTTTCTCTTCAAACTCTTCCAACAGCTCTAATCAGTCAGAAGCATTCTTTTACAAAATCTTCAGCTAGCAATCACATCACTAGTTTAGGTTACCCACCTTTATTGCACTTCCTCTTGAAAATAAAGATGAAGATAAATTCTTGACATCCTTACAAAAAAGATGTATACTTATTCTGGAAAAGAATCCTAGCTGTGGCTGCATCTACGGACCAACAGATTGACATTCAAATAGAAGTGTTACCTCTCTAACAATAAGATACCTACATTGTAATAATATTGAAGTTTCCTCAATCTCAACCTATACCTTTATAATTTAAATCTATACCTTTATAATTCTAAAAAAATTCCTATGTTTCAAATAAAACAACTTCAGATCTCCACTACATTTTTTACATTTAAAAAATCAGAAATACTCACCCCACACACCTGCAGCTAAAGATTTATTCTGGTTTGGTTCCCTCTCATATTCAGGGTTCAAAGACGGCTGAAAGATAGTTTTATCATTATTAAAAAAATAAGACTTGAATTCTGGGACCAATGAAATAAAGAATCACAATAATATCAGCAGTATGATCTCTGCTGTCAAAGTTTTTTAAATGGAGACAGACTAGACACTTCCCCTGTGACCCAAATAGGTCAAGGCTCACTTGTTGCTCTTCTCCAATAAAACATCTCAGACAGCAGTCAATAGCATTACATGAACTGTCTAGAGAAAACAAAAACCAGCGATGTATAGTTCTTCAAACACGAAGCTCACCCTTCCTCTCACATTCTACAATTCTAGGTTGAAGCATGGGATCTCAAAGGGCCATTGGCAGGAAGATCACTTTGTTAGTACTTCAGATTTCCAATAAGGTAACTGTGTAGAATTTAATACATACACATACCACAGCAAACTGGAACACAGTTGTAGTTTCACTTAAACACTTAAGTGACAATAATAAACATATAATGATAAAAACTGTATATAAAAGGAGAAACAAGCTAGTGGGCAAATGACTAACACCCTCTGACCTATGGGAAGGGTGATCCCTTATATGATGATCTTAAACTCATGAAATCTCATGAAGCAGCTTGTAATAGACAAAATGGCACTCGCAGAAACAATGAAACCTTGTTTATTATAGTTACAATTAACTTACAAAATCCTCAGCTTCAAACTGTTTGGGTACTTCCTTGTCTTCATTTTTCCCAGTTTCATTACCAGGTACATTGTTTTCATGCAGTCCATGGCCTTTTCCACAGTGGAAAGCACTGGCACGAGCACGGGAACCTCCACCATGGTATCCCCCACGATGGTTTATATTTTCTGTACAATTTCTGCCTTGTGAACGCCAACCATTCCTCTCTTTTCTCCAAAAATGTCCTTAGATTTTTAAATTTTAAAGAAATGCAATTAGAAACAATTTTAAAAGAATATTCTATTTTTGTAAAGTTCTTAGAGAAGTTAAGTCAGCAGCTTTATACTCTGGGATGCAATAGCATAGTAAATTTAAGTTTCCATTCACATAAGCAGCAGGGAAAAAAAATCTTACAAAACAGTGCCAGACAAAGAGGCTAGTAGTCCAACATTAAGACAAGTCAACCTCCTTTTCTAGCTGCTCATTTATATGTTGTTGGCTAGAATATTAACACTTTTACTATTCTTAAGAGAGAAATACACCTGGCAACTTTCAAAGACTTTCAACACTACTTTCACCAGCCCCTGGTCATCATATCCTCTCCCAGAAGATTTGTCTTTCCATTACCTCTATTTTACTACAGAATAAGAATTTAGTAGTATAGTAGTGGTACCATAGTAGAGCTATTATCATCAGAGTTCTTTTCTAGCTGGAGAGCTACAAAGCAACAGTGTAAACATATTCAAAATGTTCCATGAAAGCTAAATTATACCTCCATTAGGCCGTCCAATGTTAGGATCAAACCCATCTGAAGAGTTGTGTCTTCTGCGATTCGCTTCATAATGATTCTCTGCCCACGAAAAATTTTCAGAATGTTTCTCAAAGTTCAGTGATGACTGTAAATGAGCACAAGTGGTAGACCTGAGATATCTGATTAATAACAAAGCTGAATTATCAGAACTGTAACATGCACATTACTCATGGTATATACAATTCATTTATAAAATGACTTTGAATGACAGACAATGCAGCAGTCCTCAAGTATGCATATCTTCAGAACTGTGTCACCATCTCCCAGGCTAGCAAAGTAGAAGCTGTATCTTCTGGTCCAGGACACTGAAAGAGCACTGAGGACCATGCTTGTGACACAAGGTAAAAAACCCAAGTGTCTATTTTGTTTTGGCAGCAGAACAGAGCACAAGTGACAAGTGTTGCAGCGGAGGAAAAATAAAAAAAGGTAAGAAAGGACAGGAGATCACAGTGTGGAAGGCAGAAAAGAAGTCTGGGATCTTGATTTGGGTGTTTGGAGACTACACATGTGCATTCCATAGAAAGCAAGGAGTAACTTCCACTGGACGCAGCTGTAGCCAAAAAAGGGCCAATTTTATTAGTCTTGCCATTATAACTTTAATAAGACAAATGCAACTGGTTATGAAATACAAATAAAACCTAAAGTCAAAAGGGTACAGATTCACAAATATACTTCAAATTACCAGCTTACAAATAGGCACTCTAGAAATTTTAAAGAAATAAATCTTTAATATGTCAGTAGAAAGTACTTTATAAACTAAAACCTTATATCAAGAACAGCACTCAGAAATAAAAATACTTCCTGACTAGAACTCATACCTAAGGGAATTAAACCAAAAAAGATCATGTCTTACTGCAGCTGTCTTCCCTATTCCTTCTATCTGGCTTTACTATTTTAACACTGTAACATTTCTTTTGCTGTTACATGTTAAAAATTCAAGAATACGTTTTCACTCTGCAATAGTGCTTAGCCTTACTGTTCTTCACACTACAGGTCTCCTCAGTGAGCCACAGCAAAGGGCTGTGTTACCCAACACCTCCCTGCCGCGCAGCCAGCCTTTGATGCAAATGAAGCAAAGCCCCCTTCCCTCTCAGCAGACTTACTGTGCGCGTATATATGTCCGTTGTATTGCACATGTACAAGAGATCCAACACCTCCCAGGGCCACAAGAGCTACAAATGCATAAATGCACAGCTGTGTGGAAATGGACTGTGTCATCAAATTAAGCCTACTGATTCCAGGGAGTATCAACTCTACTGCACTCGAAGTATCAACTTTGCTGCCTGAAGTCCACTCTCCCTCCAGACTGAGTAACATTCAGGAAAAAAAGTACAGTAGTAATGGTGTACGTCTGAAAATGAAAGCCCCAAGTTTTTTTCAACAGTTATTATCCACTAACATCTATTCAAGTTATACTAATATTTAAAGTACTCCACTGATCAATGGGGGGGGGGGGAGAATATCACAGTAATAGATTTAACTACTTTGGAAAACATGTTGGAGAAAATTATTTCCTCCTTCCCATGTTCCCTGCCGCTGCAAGAGAATCACAGACAGAAAATTATACCCAAGTTCTACTGACAATGCCCCAGCAGAACTCAAGGTGCTGTTCAAAACTCACTGCTTAAAATTCAAACTCAAGTAAGCAAGAGATATGTTTAAAATACAAAGCATGTATTTCCAAACCATACAAAAGTCAAATGAAAAGGAATTGCCCTTTCAATTTGAGACCTAGGAAGTGAATTACTTCTTGACAAACTTGGAAAGAAGAAACCAAAAACCACAAGAAACTATCAAAAGGTCTAGGTGGTTAAAAAATTATCATAATGAATCTCAATATTTAAGTAAAAAATAAATCCTTATAAACAAATTTTGACTAAGCTGCCAAAAATTTCAGAAAGATCCAGATCTGTTGATCATAGATGAAATTTTAGAAGATAGTTTCATGTATTCACATTTACATATGACAGCCTTCTAACATTGCCTTTGGAGTTTGACTTTAATTTTTTTGTATGAACTTTGAAGAATAATCACATTTTCACAAAGTATAACTGACAGCATTTTATATATAATGTTTGAGTTGTATGTGATACAATGAATCTAAAATCTCTAAATTGTGTGCAAATATCATGCAGTTTGCATTTTCCCCACATGATGGAGGCATCAGTCTATCAAGCCTCTTGTAGCAGAGATGACAGTAAACTTTGTAATCAACAGGAAATCTATTGGCAGTTTCTGGAAGTTGAGAAGTTATTTGACTAGGTTTAGCCAGCCAAGAAAGAAAGCAAGCAACACAGATTTTTGAACTATAAGAAGTAGTCTTATTGTTTAACATGAAGCAAAAGTAAGCTTGCAAAAACTGAGTTTACCAGTCTGTCTGCAATCTCCCCATACAAGTTTTACAACAATCCTTTACGAAAAGTTTCATCCATATCCCAAAATGGCTTCACTGTTCACAACAACTTCCCATTTCCATCTACCCAACTGCAATACTGCACTGACGCAAATAGAGTAGTTCCAGACCTGAATGAGAGCTACTGAGCAATGGATACCCAGCTATTTAAGTTGGCTTTGCTACATAAGTGACAGGGAGATGATATAAAAGCCTATACTTAAGAGGAAATCATCAGCAATAGGTGAGATGGATTTCAGTCAAGCTGTAATCTATATCAGTGACAATAAGAAAGCTCATTCACAATTCCAGCTTCATGGCATCAGGTTTTTCAGTGCTAGCCTTTACCTATATTTGGAAAAGCCTTGGCTACCCAGGATCAGGGGGGGAAAGAAAGCTCCTAAAGATGCAATTCCTAAAAGTGCCTCTTCACGGAAATAGAAACTGACTAGGCAGAGTTCAGTTTCTCCTTCTCAAGTCTAAATGTTGTTGATACCATAGCCTCACCCCAGCTCCATTCTGCATGAAACATGAGACACCCCACCTTCCTCACCCCATCCTTCCTCTTCATCTCCATCCCTCTTATCTGCTCTTCCCTTCAGCTGTTTTGTGGGAAATGGGAATCAGAAATAAAAATCTATTCTAGGCAACAGAGGGGACAGGGAGTGTCATGGTTTAACCCCAGCCAGCAACTAAGCACCACGCAGCCGCTCACTCAATTCCTCTCCCACCCAGCGGGATGGGGGAGAAAATCGGAAAAAAGAAGTAAAACTTGTGGGTTTAGATAAGAACGGTCCAACAGAATATAAAAAGAAGAAACTAATAATGATAGTGATAACACTAATAAAGTGACAGCAGTAATGCTAAAAGGATTGGAATGTACAAATGATGCACAGTGCAATTGCTCTCCACCAGCCGATTGACATCCACTTAGTCCCAGAGCAGCGATCCCCCCGCCCCTCCCTCCCCCCAGTTCATATATTAGATGTGACGTCCCATGGTATGGAATACAGCGTTGGCCGGTTTGGGTCAGCTGCCCTGGCTCTGTCCTGTGCCAACTTCTTGTGCCCCTCCAGCTTTCTCGCTGGCTGGGCATGAGAAGCTGAAAAATCCTTGACTAAACATTACTTAGCAACAACTGAGATCATCAGTGTTAACAACATTCTTCTCATACTGAACTCGAAACATAGCACTGTACCAGCTACTAGGAAGACAATTAACTCTATCCCAGCTGAAACCAGGACAGGGAGCCACAACATTTGAGACCTGTCTTGTAGAGGAATGACAGGACAAGCCTTATTCTGTAATCTAAGAATTACTACACATCAGGTAGGACCAGAAAGACTTTGCAAGTGTTTAATACCAAACATGCTATATATTACAGAATGCTGATCATTAAGAGAGGCCGTAACACAAGGGAATAAGCTGCATTTCAAACAATGATGCACAAAGACTATAATGGAGAAAGCAGACAGCTACAGAGATTTTAAGACATGCAAGAAAGTCTATCTAAACTCCTTGAGGCAGAGAATCATGAAAGAGAACAGGATCCACAACATATGTTTACAATGAAATTTCCCACAATCCAGGATGAGGTGACAAATACAACCCATACCTCAGACATATTCAAGTGGTACTGGAGTAGTTCTGAAACATACTTTTATCCTGCTATATTGACACTTTGAGCATGCAGGTAAGCTCTTCCAGGAGGTTCCTGAAATATGTGGTGAAGACTGTTTTGTAATTGTGACACCATATTAAAGTAAGCTCTGATTACTCTTCAATTGAAAATGTATTAAATTGGAAAAACAGATCCAAAAAGTTGAATATATCAGAAGTCAAGTAGAATAAAAACAAACAGATCACAGGAACCATCCTGCAACAGATAGGCCTGATGTTCCCAGAACAGCAACTGAGAGTTGCTGACAGACTGTAATAAACAAAGAAGCTAGGTAGGTCAGTGTAGAAGAAAGATAAATAGAGCAATGTGAATAAGGACATTCAACTACTTGACTAAAAAAATGCATGTGTGTGTGTGTAGACATATATAAGCAAAGCAATGGGAACACAACTAATACTGATGGCTAACTGTGCATTTAACAATAGCACAAGCCTATTTCTGTAAGTTTATAAAGGCTAACATTTTCCATGGACATGAAAGACAGCAGGAAACTTACACAAATACATTAAAGTAAGGCAATGCCACTCTCATAGCTGCAAGATATAGATACCGCATTCAAAAGATTATCATGAAGCAGACAGATCTACAAATAGGGAAATAGATCACAGGAGTTTGAATACCCAGTGCTGCCTCTGCATTCATACAAATTGAAAAGAGTAGAAGGATAGGCCAGAAAAAAAGAAACATATATGAGACAGACATATTCACTACTTCCTATTATTTACGAGTATTTACAAATCCTAACGATTCAGAGATTGCTATTTCCTGTTTCCAAGCTAACTGTCCTATTGTATAGAGTAACAGTCTAGATGAAACAACCACAGTGAAGATGCACAACTATTTGAAAGTGCCACACTCCACCAGTAGTAACAGGCATCCCACCAGCAACTGAATAGCCATTTCAGAAGGTCTATTTCAAAAGCATTCTATCAACCAAGTGATCAAAAAAAAAAAAAATAATAACAGTTCTGTAAAATGTATAAGATGCAGAGAGAAATCAGAAGCAAGAACA